TAATTTTAAACTATTTGTAAGTTATAATTTATAAATTGTTTATATTTTACAAATTTTATAAAATTTCATAAAATTTATAAAAGATAAAAGAAAATATTGAGCAGGGAATTTGTGTTTTTTTCATGAACCAAAGCAACTAGAAAAATAGTAATTTGTGAGGTCTGCGATGTCAGGCCTGATATAGTCTGAATCTGCTTTGGCTGGTCACCAGCTGTTAAGAATTTAGCTCCCAGCTGGGCGGTGGTGGCACTCAGGAGGCAGAGGCAGGCTGATCTCTGCGAGTTCAAGGCCAGCCTGGTCTACAAGAGCTAGTTCCAGGACAGGCTCCAAAGCTACAGAGAAACCCTATCTGGACCACCCCCCCCCCCCAAAAAAAAATAGCTCCCATCTCATCCTAAACTCTTTATTCTAAGATAACTTAATAATTAAGATAACTTAATTCTAAGATAACTTTGACTTGTAGAGCTTTAAAGCATGTGTAGTTGATGTATACTTGGCAGATGAAGACACTATTTCCTTCTATACTTTACAAGTTTAAAAAGTTCATTTCAGAATAAATTATTGTTAATTTCTTGGTATTTAATTTTGAAAGCTGTTTTGATGTAAATATACATGAATTTCTTTTGAACTATGCTTCAGCAACTACGTTCTCCTCTTCCTCATCTTCCTCCCTCTCTTCCTCCTCCACCTCTCTCTTCTTCCTTCGTTCTGTATTATTTGTGGTGTTCTGGTAGCAGCCCGCTTATCTATTTCATCTCTATTGTTTCCTTAGACGACCAGTGAGAATCAGGCATTGTATTCTGTTCCACTTGTGCAACTGTTTGCCTGTGTCAGCTTTGATCTGGCCTGTGATCTCAGTGCCTTTTTTGACTCAGTAACTCCAGATACTGTTGGCAATCTTCCTGTAAATCTGATCAGCGAGTGGAAAGAATTTTTTTCTAAAGGCATCCACAGTTTGCTTTTACCTCTTCTGGTGACTGCTGTAGGTAAGTGCAAAGGGGCACAACAATGACACTCACCAGAGTGACTTGAAGAATTGAAATAAGCCTGGATTCTTGGAGGATTGGATTTGTCAGCTTGCATGCTGATGCTTCATGGTGCGGACCCAGGGAAAGAGGGCTTGGTATCCAGAGACCACTGCAGGTTAAGATAGATGATTGCGCAGAGCACATGGCTAGAACCCCTTTAAAAGGCATGCAGTATAGGCCATTATAACAGTTGAGGGCGGTGAAAACATAATTGTTACCCTCAACTGTCAGGTCTTTTCTGAATGTTGTATTTAGTTTTCATTTGGTTTTCTTAAATGATGTTTGATTTGATCAGTGCACTTAGGTGGCTGTGTCTGACATGTATGTTTCTTCATTTTGATGTCAGGAGAGAACAAAGACCTGTCTGAAACGTCCTTTCAGAATGCAATGCTGAAGCCCATGTGTGAAACACTAACATACATCTCGAAGGACCAGCTGCTGAGTCACAAGCTCCCTGTGAAGTTGGTGGCCGGCCAGAAGACAAACCTGCCAGAGCACCTCCAGACCTTGCTCAATACTTTGACCCCACTGCTTCTCTTCAGAGCCAGACCTGTGCAAATTGCTGCTTATCACATGCTCTACAAGTAAGACAGCTTCAATCGAGTGACCACTTTAGTCTCTGAAACATGCTGCGTATTGCATTTGCTTTTTTATTCACTGAGCCACCTTTCAACTGCTGACTTGTACTTTTTTCTACAGTTTTTTTCACTTTATTTTTATATTTTTTAAAAGAAAACAAACTACCTTTTTTCATTTTACATACCAATCCCAGTTTTCACTCATTCCCTCCCATCCACTCCTCAGAGAGAGGGTAAGGCACATGCTTTGGGGAAGGTCCAAGGCCCTCCCTACTATATCTAGACTGAGAAACAGAATAGGTTCCCCAAAAGCTAGTTACAAGCAGTAGGGATAAACATCCCACAGTCTGCCCCAGCCATACAACTGTCATCCACATTCAGAGGGACTAGTTTGGACCTTTGCTGTTTCCTTCCTTGTCTGGCTGGAGTTGGTGAGCTCCCATTAGCTCAGGTAAACTGTTTCAGTGGGTGTCCCCATCTTTGCTCATATTCTCACTCCACCTGCTCTTCAGCTGGATTTTGGGAGGTCTCTGCCTCTGTTTCCAGGAACGGATGGTTCTGTGGTGACATTTAAGGTATTCATTAGTCTGACTACAGGGCAAGGCCAGTTCGGGCACCTTCTCCTCTATTGCTTAGGGTCTTAACTGGGGTCATCATTGTGAATTCCTGGGGATTTCTCTAGTGCCAGGTTTCTTGCTAGCCCCATAATGGCTCCCTCAACCAAAATATCTTTTTCCTTACTCTCATCTCTGTTTTTCCTCCATCTCGACTATTCCGTTCCCTTAAGTTCTCCTGTATGCACTGCCCCTGCGAACTGGTCCTGTCCAGTACTTTGGTTACCATAGGCAGCTTGATGGGCTGCACGTGACTCATGTCCATGATGGTGGTGATCATGCTGAGAGCCTGACTTGTACTTTTAATCTTTAAAACAATTAAATGATGGCCGGGTTGTTGTGGTGCCTTTAATCCCAGCACTTGGGAGGCAGTGGCAGGTGGGTCCATTTGAGTTCAAGGCCAGCCTGGTCTATAAGAGTGAGCTCCAAGACAGGACAGGTTCCAAAGCTGTGGAGAAACCCTGTCTCAAACAAACAAACAAACAAAAAACAAAACAAAACAAAACAAAAAAACAAAAAAAGAAAATTAGAAATGAAAGGAGACTGGATAGTAATAGGAAGGACAAGTTTTTGACTTTATCATTTTTGTCCCTGTGTAATTCATATTTATATAATCTTGGTCATAAGTAGTTATTTTGGAAAAGAATTATTGAAAGATAAACTCACCACATAGTATATGTCTTGTTGGTCTAAAGCACAAGTTAACAATAGACAATTTGTTAAAAAGTATTTAAAAATGGCGTTCTGCTTCTCAGACTGATGCCTGAATTCCCGCAGTATGACCAGGATAATCTGAAGTCGTATGGAGATGAAGAGGAAGAACCTTCCTTGTAAGACTTTTTGCCTTGTTTGCTTTCATTTCACTTTTTTTGAGGTTGTGCTTACCGTGTGCTGTGTTGTATGTGTGTAGGTTACCGGGAAATGCTGGGTGTTGGTCCTCACTTTCTGTCTTGTCTGTGATAGTCGCCTGTTTGCTGCCTCAGTTTGCCCTGCTAGTTGGCCACCAGACACTGGGGACTCTCCTGTCTATCTCCCATCTTGCTCTATAGGGGCGGGGACTAAAGAAATGTGCTGCTACATGGAGCCTTTCATGAGCTCTTGGATCCAAATTCAGGTCACTAAGCTTGTGTAGTAAGTGCTTTGCCCACCAAGTCACCCCAGTCCCATTTTCCTCTTATAATTTGGCTTGCCAGATTCTTATAAAGAAGCTCAAAAATCCTCTGACTTCAGAATTTGTACTAATTATGTATACATAATTCTGTATGCATAAGTTTTGGAAGTTCCATAGGGCAAATGAAATCCTAAGTTCATGTTAACTACTTTCTCTTTATTTTTAAAATAATTTTATGCCAGGCGGTGGTGGGGCATGCTTTTAATCCCAGCACTTGGGAGGCAGAGGCAGGAGGATCTCTGTGAGTTCCAGGCCAATCTGGTATACAAGAGCTAGTTCCAGGACAGGCTCCAAAGCTACAGAGAAATCCTGTCTTGAAAAACCAACCAACCAAACAAACAAAAAACGTAATATTACATGAATGGGTGC